GAGGATTACACACAAACACACAAGTTTGTACACGGTTACGAGAGAAATCACAGCAAACCGTAAACACTCGAAGCATTTGTAGCTATTCGAAAGCAATAAAAGATAGTTTTTTTTACCTTGTTCACTTCTGTTTCTCCCTTGCATGTTGTATTTCCTTTGAGATCTGGTGTGAATCGAACCCAAAAACCATTTTTTGGTCGATGGACAGATGGGTCTTTTTTTTAAAAAATATTTTTTAGATCTACACACCCTGGAGGCCCATTTTTAAAGAAAAATCCTTTCGATTTTTGGAATAGAGAGAAGAAAAGCTTTCGATTTGCTTTAAAATAAACAAAAAATTTTGCCGCCGATGATCGACGGCGCGGCGACCATGTTCTGGGAATCACGGCGCCTGTTCATCATTTGATGAACAAATCAGAGAAAAAATGAGAGATGGGGGGGTTCAACGAGAAGAGAGAAATGAAATTATCAAGCCAAAACAATGGCTTACATACGTGACCCATTTACCCATTCAGGGTCCGCGTGCTGACCCGACCCGTTGCATCAGATCCGCTTGTTTTCACGCAAAATCAGAAAAATCCCATTTTGGTCCCATCCGTTTTAAAAAATTCTAATTTGATCCCTAAAACTCGATTTTAAACCCCCATTTGCTTGCGAATTCAACCTTCTGTTTTGATTTCCTTTCAATTTAACCCCTCCGTCATTATTATTACTTCTTGCATATATATGTACATATTTTTTACTATTTATTTTATTATATATATATTTTATTTATACGTTATTTCATATATGTATATTTCATATTTCTTATTATTCTCTTTTTATTTTTTATTATTATTATTATTTTTCCTCTGCTTTTTTATTATTATTTTATTTATTTTCATTATTTCTTTTGTCTATTATTATTAAAATTTTTCTTCTCTCTCGTATTTAGCTATTATACGTATATATAGTATTATTATTATTATTATATGTTTTCATTAATTTTATTATTTGACTTTATTTAGTATACGCTATTATTTTACATTTTTTATTTCAACATTTGAATATATATATATATATATATATATGTGTGTGTATATTTTATTTAATTCTTATCATTTTTTTATTTTGCTTTCCTCATTTATTTATTTATTTATTTGTTTTTTTTTCGTTTTATGGTACCTTATCTTTCTTATTTCTTTATTCGTTTATTTTCTATTTTAATCATATGTTTTCATACTTTGTCTTTATTTTACTTCCTTCATGTTCCATGTCTCCATGTTGATTATGTTATTTATCGTGTATCCTTTATTTTTATTTTGTTCTTTATTTTCTTTATTTTTAATTTAATTTATTTCCATCACCTTTTCTAATACATCTTTTGACTCTTAAAGGGCTCACTTTTAAATCAATTAGTGGTAAGTTTTCGGATCGTTATTTTACCTTTAAATTTAAACTTACAATTTTCTTAATTAAGACAACTGGAAATTACGTAGTACCGAAAGGCGTTTTAAGGGTGATAATCCTTCCTTGACCGTAACCGACTCCCGAATCCGACATATCACTGGTAAGACGCAGATCATGTAAGAAATAAGGTATCCGATCAACCCATTTGTTTTAAATAAATGATCGGTGGCGACTCCAATCCACATTTTTCAAGTCGAAGCCTAATTCCGGGGCCCAACCGAAAGACGGTTACGACAATCCTATTACAGTAAACCCGTGTGACATTTTTAAAAATTAAATAAAGTTTTAATTATTTTAAACTAAAACTTATTTGGGTTGTAACGCCCCGAAATCAGGGTCAGTAATTCGAGTCAACCCGAGACCCATTTTAGAGCCTAAAAGATGTATTAAGATGGTTTGGACCAAGTTTAATGGGAATTGGGCTGAGTTGGCCCAAGAGGTTTATGGAAGGTGGTGAAAATTATTAGGGTTAAAAGTGTAAGGGACCTAAAGTGTAGTTTACCCAACTTGTTGAAGATGAAAACTTCCCCTCATTTTATATTAGATTCATGTAAACCAAAACCCCTAAAATCTTTCCAAATACTTTTTTCCTTCTTCCTTCTAGAATTTTCCGTTTCTCTTCCTCTTCCATCTCAAATCTATCTTGTTTTATAAGCATTTCATTTCCTTTTGATTAAACCAAGGTAGGATTTTGAATCACCATTCTTCAAGCTTTAATTTAAGCCTCATTTTGTAAGTTTTTACCGTAGTTTCAAAAATGGGTTTTTGGGGAGGCTCAATAGAAATCTTTGATTCCAAGTTTCTTTGATAGCTTTATGTTTTAAAAAATGTTTACACTCTTATTTACATTATTTTGGTTCACTTAGAATTTCTTTTTCTTAACATTGAATAATGAAAGAGGTAGGAGAAACTTCAAAAGTCAAAGGAAAAGAGAAACCTCCATTAGAGTGACCAATAACACAAGGTATCCACATTTACAATTCTCTTATACTTATTGCGGGTCATTAAGGAAGTAGTAGTTGCTTGAAAGTTAGATAAAGCATGGTAAGATGATTTCCATGGTGATTTTTTTATTTTGGTGTTATTAGCATGTTACGAAGCTTATTTTTGAATCTATGATCACATAAAACTTTAATAATAATTGGGAAACCTCAAGGTAGAAAATTAGGGACTTTGAGAGTGTGTTGCAAAAGTTTTCTCGGGTGAAAAAGTGAAATATGCATAATAGGTTTCAAAACCCCTAGGTTGGTTTTGAAACCCCTTGTCCAAAATGACATTCTACCAGAGAAATGTCAAGAATGGCTAAAAATGTTGCTCGGGAGACCTAGACCCATAGTATGACCATAAATGAGATTGAATATATGTAAAACACTAGAATAAGTATTAGAAAAGGTGTTTAAAGTTGGGTTGAAATGAATGAAATAGTTATAGGGGTATTGATACTGCATAGTATGTATATATACTGTAAGGCCAATATCAATACCAAGGGTATGTTGTAGGCTTTTAAGAATGAGAATTATAGAGGCAAGTGAGGTTTTCCATAGATTTCTATAATTACTCCCAAATAAGACTACAAGTGAGAACTGTAATAAAATGTAAATCAAACATAGAAAAAAATAAAATAGGACAAACAAGACTAACCTTGTTTGATGCTCGGGGAAACAATTTAGACACCCTAGTTTCTTTAGTTTAGGGTGTCAAAAGTATAGATGCAGTCAGGATATATCCTTAGGTAGGGTGCAAGGCCCTTAAAACTGACTAGGTAGGGCGCAAGGTCCAACACTCACAAGGGTGGGCCAGTCGGGGTGTGGGTGTTCGATGCAGAGTTTCCCTGGGCCACATCCTTGGTATACTAGAGGGGTGCGTGAGATACGAGATACAGAAATCCCTCAACCGCACCATGATGTCTACCATAGGATAGAGAGTGAGTATAACAAGGATACTAACTAATGTTGGAATTTAGATAGTTTCACTGTACACTCTTATTAAGTTATTTGAGCATGTTATAAATTATCATTGTTAGTATAATTTAGTCGTTAGCATGGCACTGGGCTAGTTAGCAGAGCGTTTGGAATTTGTTTCCTTACGCATATTAGGTGAAGAACCGTAAGGGAACTTGTTGACCAGAAGTGATCCAGACCTGATCCAGTGTAGAGAACGTCTTGAGTCCTTTAGAGGGCATGTATATTCAAATTTCATGTTTTGTATACTCGAGTCATTACTTGTTTTAAAAGATGGTCTGTATATATTTGTCTAATTATTTTGTGGGAGCTCCGGAGCATAAATTGTTTGTATAAGTGTTGTTATTTATTTTATTATGAATGTCTACCGGTAAATATTTTTTTTATGAAAGCATGTTAAAGAAAAATTTTAATTAGTCTCTTTGGTGATCCCGTATAATACTCTTTTCGGTCGACTATATGTCATACTGGTGTATGGTGTTGCATGGATATTATAAAAATATTAAATTAAAATTAAAAAATATATATATATATATGTAAGGATGAGTTTTGAATTGTATTCTAATAGCACAGCCATTTTTACGGGGCTACCATAAATGAAATTGCTCCTTGCATCATACGCAGAGATATTTATAACAAAGATTATAGTAAAAAAAGTAAAATGAAAGGATGAAATAGGAGGTTAAATGGTTGTGGCAGGATCACTGCTAATATTAATATCCGTTGTGGATGTTGGTATCAAGGTCCAACCAGTGAGAGTTCCAAAACACTGTAAATGAAATCCAGCTAATCATCATGCATGCACTTGCACCTCAATAATATATATTTACGAAACCGACAACTCATCCATAGTATAGAATTACCCTATGTTCTTAGCTACAGGTAACCCCAAAAAAATCTACTGCTATTTCTCAACAGTCGAATTTCTTTGGGTTGGGTTGGGGACACTGCAATCAGACGTTCTTTTCATGTGTTGGGGTCTGTGTGCACGCCAATGCCATCCTCCACACTCCTTTCTCTTCGATATAAAATGCCAAAAAGGCAAAAATTAAATTATGTTTATTCTTTTTAAATTTAATTTATCTTCAAATTTTATAGAAATGAAAAGAAAAGAAAAAATCTCCCTCGGGGGCCCATTCCTACCTTTAACAAAGGAACTGTACAATACAAATTCATAGAATATAGTATAAGAATTCAGATAAGAAAAATTAAAATCCATTGGCATTGGAAGGGTTTAGACTTTAGGTTGGGGTCCAGAGATACAAGTTACGGAATGTCACGCGTCGAATAATTGTGTTGCATGGCCCATGCCGTGGTTCAGGTCTGGGTCATATAGTATTCTTCCCCAATTATTAAAAAACAAAAAAGAAATCCACAAAAGAAATTTTCAAACTCTTCTAAGTAGTAGCCCTTGTTTGCTGCATCAAACCCACAAAATTTAAACACGTCCCTGGTTTACTGCTCACTTCCCTCTGGGAAACACAGATTGAGAGATGATGCCTCAAGCTCTGTCTTTTGGCTTCTCTCTCTTCATCTCCTCTGTTCTGTAATGAAACCAAGCTAACAAAAAAAGTACAAAAAAAGAGATAGAAATGGCTTTCAACGCTTGTTTTGTTTTTTGATGCTCTTTATTGTTTAGAAGAGAATTGGGAGGAAGAACCCAGGGAAAACTACCCTGAGGAAGTAGGAGGAAGTTATTTCAATGATGGGATTAATAAATCAAACCCTTTTCCAGCCTTGTTAGAACAAGACTTATCCTGGGAAGATGATGAACTTTCTTCTCTACTTTCAAAAGAAGAGAGAGATCAACTGTGTGATGTCCTTGAAAGCAATGGCAATCTAGCTGAGACTCGCCGTGAAGCTGTGGAATGGATGTTAAAAGTCAATGCCCACTACTCCTTCTCTGCTCTCACTGCTGTTCTTGCCGTCAACTATCTCGATAGATTCTTGTTTAGCTTCCGATTCCAAAGTGACAAGCCATGGATGACTCAACTAGCTGCTGTAGCTTGTCTTTCTCTTGCAGCCAAAGTGGAGGAAACCCAAGTGCCTCTCCTGCTGGACTTACAAGTATATATGTTATTTCTTTTACTTTTTTATTTATTTTTCATTTGGTTCGGGTTATTAATCTTGTTTTCTTATCGATCTGTTTAGGTGGAGGAGAGCAGGTATGTGTTTGAGCCTAAAACCATCCAAAGAATGGAGATTTTAGTGCTTTCCACACTTCAATGGAAGATGAACCCTGTTACCCCACTTTCATTTCTTGATTACATTGCAAGGAGGCTTGGATTGAAGGACATTCTTTGTTTGGACTTCCTTAGGAGATGCGACCGCATTCTGCTCTCTGCCATTTCAGGTTAGCACCAAAACCAAAAAAGAAAAAAAAATACTTTCCTTTATCTTTCAAATAGGTAATAAGAATTGAATCTACATGAATGCACCTCATAATCTGCATTGAAGAAACAAGATGCATCCTATTGTTGTACATCTGTTTTCTCAGATGCTCTTGTTAAATTCATGGGCAGACTCTAGGTTTCTGTGCTACCTTCCTTCTGTAATGGCCACTGCTACAATGCTACACGCTGTGGATTGTGTAGAACCTAATCTTAGAGTTGAATACAAAAACCAGCTATTACTCATCCTGGGAATCGATAAGGTAATTGCTTTATATATCTTGGGTTTTCTCTTTTAGCACTAATTCTAAGCCAATGCTAAACACGGAAATTGGTTCTTAAATTTTGGTTCGAACAGGACAAGGTAGATGAATGCCGTAAGTTGATTATAGAATCGGCAACAACAAGTGCTGAAGGGAACCAAACAAACAAACGAAGGTTTAGCTCCCTTCCAGGAAGCCCAAATGGCGTATTGGATGTGAAGTTTAGTTCAGATAATTCGAACGATTCCTGGGCTGTGACATCATCTGTGTGTTCTTCTCCCGAGCCTCAATCCAAGAAGAGCAGAATTCAAGAAGACCAGTTTCTGGAAAGGCCAAGCCATGCTCCAAACTTTCTTAGTATTCCTCGTTAAATTCCATCTTCAGTTCCTTGGTTATTTTTTACCCTTTCCTAGACTATAAATAGTCTTTGCAATAACATTGCTGTTCTTTTCTTATGATGCAAGTTAAATTGCTCATCATCTCTGCATTTTTCTATACCAAAACTCCAACCGAGACTCATCTTTAGAACAATCTCCTTGGAGTAATCGGTGTTGAAATTTGCAAGCAGGGATGATTTACATTTTATCCGGAAGAAAGTTGTTTTGTTTTTCAGAAACATAACAATGCAGAGTCCCTGGCATTGATGCTTGGGGTCTTTTTGTTATTTTCATGAGAATAATGTTAAAAAAATTCTTTAAAAAGAAATGCCACATTTATAATGTACTACGTCCAGATTGTTCTTATGTTTTACTTGCACATGATTGAAATACATAGGGAGTTGTGTATTTATATCAGAATACAAACATAGCAGAGTTTTGTACGTATATGTATCGAAATTCCAATGGCGAAATCAGATATGGACCAAAAGAGCGGGAGGCCGAAAGTATTACACGTAACGTATATTTTTGTTTGCATGTGAAGGCAGGAACAAGTTGTCGGCCACTCACAGATTTTGTGACTATAATTTTGGGAGGTTTGACCTCGTTGGAAGAGCTCATCTTCCTTTGAATTTGGCCCCAACAGCTGTTAAGAGCCATCATTTTTTAATCAAAACCCTAAACCATTACTTTGATTTATACATGGAGATGTAGGTAATCTATAAGAGAAAAAGACAGTAACAAGCCGGTTAATATGTGCTTTCCTTTTAAAGTAAAGGGGAATCAGGAGTCATGATTTGGTTTTATTCTGAATTGCTTATTATCATACTGCAATATTCACTGCACTCTTTTTTTTTTTACTAAGTTGCTTAATCTGCTAAGCCTTACATGTATTATTAGATCTAATAATTGTTTTATGCGTTATAAAGTTGCTCTATTTATATTTTTTCCACATATCAACCGTATCCTTAGTTATTGCTCCTATCTACTATATTTTAATTGTTCGTATCCATCTAACATGAACCATACGTACGGCGCCACTGTCTTTAATAACTGTATTCTTAATTTTTATATATAAAAGAATCACAATAATATGATGAAATAATGCTAAATAAGTATGGTAATGAAATAAAGTACTATTTGGATGGTTTTAATGAAAATCGAGCATGAACTAAGCAACCTCAGTGGTAAAGAAATTGTTATTATTCTTTGAGGTATTGGGTCCGAGCATAAGAAGAAAAAAAATGAATATGTGTTTTGATAGGTGTACATCTCCTCTTCTTATATGGACATTGTGATTTAGTGATACCATTCAAACGCCCCGCCCCAAAGCTCAAAGAGCTTAAAACAGAGCTGGGGAAGATTCCATGTTGTGTAGTTGACACTGACTTAGCATCACTCGTCTCTGCCATTTTGGACTGCCTAAAGGATTATAGTTATTTCCGGGCCATGCATATTAGTGATGCTGGGGCTAAGCCTGCACACACCACATGCATCTATTTATTATATTTTCCTTGCTGCTAATAAAAAATAAAAGAACATAGTCTGGAAATTTAAAGTATAAATGAGAGCAATGTCGTTGATGGAACTGGGAATAGAAATAGAAGAGAAAGAAAAAGGAAATTGTTTTTTAGACTCTGTTAATTCCAGTAAGAAGAGATGACTATCCAGCTCAGTTGGTAGAACACAAGGTTCTTAACTTTGAAGTTGTGGGATCGAGTCCTATGGATGGCATTTCATAATTCGGAGGTCTTCTACGGAAGCTGCTCTCAACCTGGTGTTGGGGGTAGCCTACTATCTTACCTCCCCTTACCCCATTACATATGGGAACAAGGGACGTCTATTTTATTAATTCCAGTAAGATTTATTGTTCTGAGAAAAACAGAGCCCCCCAGAAATATAAAACAAAAACACTTTCCATAAGTCTTAGAAAATTTGGATTCTGACATTGATGGCCTTCACGGCACATGCAACCAACGTCTACTCTTCTTATCGGTCCAGTAACAAAGGGCTGCTTTGCAATTAATATTTGCCTTTCCTTTTTTTTTCTTTACTGATTCATTGCTAAGCCAATAATTCACTACGTAGGTCGATTATATTATAGAACAAACTGTTAAAGCAGGCTGCTCATTCATTATTTGCCGATAATTATTGGAAAACAAAGGTCATAATAATTCACTATGTATCGAGGGAAGGAGCCCTTGGGGTGAGGAATATTGATGGAGGAGGCCCACTCTATTGACCTTGATTTTGGATTAGAATCGGAGATACAACATTCCATGCGTGACTGGTTTAATGTCTTCATGAATTCTGAATCCACTGAATTGGGTTATATCATTCTTTATGCTGGGAGGGAATGCCACACTCTGACCACTCCATTTAATTCTTCTTGTATGTCAATTGGCTGTGATGCACGGTGATTGTGGAGGGTAGAGGACATCAAATATATGTTATTTCTTGCCCATCCATTTACGCCGGCCCCGTATGCTAGGCTTACAAAGCTCAAACAAGAGGAGCTGTGTTGGGTTACAATACCAATTACCATGCAATCATACATGCTGATAGTTGGGCCTAGCCGAATCCTTTCTAGTCCATGTCACGTTATACAGATTTTCGTAATATAGCCCAACCCAAATATTCTCTATTACTAAAAAAGAATAGTGGATCAATTAAGAGTTTTCGTAATAAGTTCAGTGAAGAGCAAAATTTCTTGGACCCAAAGATGCAAACAAACCAGAAAAGAAATTGGAATTTGGTGGAAAAAGGAAAAGTTCCATCACTCGAGAACCCTCTGCAGGCTGTAGCAAGCTCAACAAATAGGGTTAAGTCTTACTAGGAAAAAAATCTGTGTTTGGTGCAATTACAAAACGATGTTATTGCAGGAAGTTGGTTGTTACTCCGTCGATGGTCAGTTTATTCACATGGAGTTAGAGGGCCCATTTTAATCATCAAATAATAAGCTCGAGATCGATTCGGCAGAAGGATCTTTCTTTCTCAGTTTAACTGAATATTTCTTTTTTCTTATCCTGTGTTACTATGAATACATAATGTTATCAGAAGGTGAGGAACATCCAGAGACATGTAAAAGTTGAGCAATTATTAAAAACTGGGGAAGAAAGCTATAAAAATTGTGGGGAGCGTTGTCAGTGGTTAAAGATCTGGGCATGAACCGAAGGTATGCATCTGCAAACATCTCCCCGAGTCTCACCTGGGACTGAGTGGTAAGATGTAGCCTATCTGGTTCCAGTGGTAGAGCCTTAGCGTCCACGCATTTCACATTTTGGAGGCCTATATTTAACTTCCTCGTTATATGGTCCCTCTCCTGATGCTAGACCACCTAGCAACCAACATTACCAATCTTTAAATTTAAAATGCAACGAAACATTAACAATGTTTTTGAAATAATCAACAAGGCTAGGGTCGGGTTATGATGGGGCTGTACATTCTTTTTCTTTATGTTCTGTTGAATAATGGCAGCACATTGATCGATTCAAAGCAGAGCAAAGCACAATCATTTTCTCATGACATCTTATCTTCAGCAATTAATAATACGGAGAATTATAACTTTTGGGGGGGTCTGCAATGCAAGAAAGGGCCGTTGCACTTGCACTTGAGTGCTTGAGAATCAATGCATTATTAAAATCACAAGCACTTGATTTCTTATTTTTAATGCAGCGCTTAAGGGTGCAGATTAAAGTAATGGTATGTTGGAACTGAGAAGTAGGAACCTTGTGTTTTTAATTAGTAGGCGTTGGGGGGAAGCTAATTCTATTTCTTAATACATGGGCAGGGCTGAGGGCTCAGTTTCCAGGAAACATCCTCCTCCATGTGATGTGCCCTTCCTTTTTGGCAATAAAAACCTAATCGCATCTTTTCAATTCTTGATCATATTTTTAAATCCCAGGATTTGATCCCTATTTGGATGTACTTAAAGGCAACGCATTCATAAAGACCGACACTGCCACCCTTTGTCCTATGAAAAAAACAATGAAATTGGGTGCATATGCTTACTACATACATAGGCCATAAATCGTGAGAATCCAAAGCACAGTTTTGTTGCTTAAAGGAAAAGACAAGGCGGTAGCTGTCCAGAAGTTTGGGTCTAGTTCTCTCTGCCTTTCTTACACCTGAACTGATTAACCTCTTCACAATTCGTTCCCAAAGACTAAACACTCATTCGAGAGGGGTTCACCACCTTGACATGACTTGTATCCACCTAGTACTGCTCAATTATTTGGTGTCATTGCAAGTACCCTTGATTCCCCTGCTTTGTTATTAGAGTTTTATTCAATAATAATAATAAATATAAACTACTGAATATTTTTCAAACTGTTTAATTCAGTATTATATGAAACTATTACCAAAAAGATTTGTAATGGCTTGGTGAGGTTTGATGGAACAAAAAGGTGTAGGAAACAAGGGGGAAAGAAATTCAGTTTATTTAAGGGTAGCGGTGGCAATCGAGTCATTTGGATCAGATTCGTGTCGGGTCATTTCAGATTTAGATTACATCGATTTAGATTTGGTTCGGGCCGGATCAGGTTTGGTTCGGATTTAGTTCGGTTTTATGAAAATTCAGTTCAGGTCGAGCCAAAATCGGATCGATTGGCTTTGGGTTGGGTCAGTATCATATCGGTTGAATTGATTTCGTGTCAAACATTAGATTTTCGAGTCAATTTGGATCAATTTCAAATCGGGTCAATATTTAGATTTTCGAGTCGGCCTTTAGATTTTTAGGTCAATCGTTGTCGTTCTTTGTCATCATAACGTTTGGTGCTTCTCTTTATTACTTATAATTTAAGAAATTTATAAAAGTATACATTGTCATGTTTCAAATGCAGAGTTAGAAATTTTAGTTTTAATAAATTGAATCAATAAATCTTTAAAATTAAGAATTTTATGTGAATATATATATTATCACAATTCAAATTTAGAGCTAAAAGTTATTTCATCAGATATAAAGATAACCTTTTAACTGGGGAAAGATTATATTGAACCATTAAACTATTATTAGTAACAAATAAATATACTGGATCAAATAAAATAAAATAATTTCATTCCTCCAATTAAATGGTGACACATGACATCATTTGATTCAATTATTAAATTTATTTTAATTTATTAATAGTATGACTATACTGAGAGAATGTATAAATAACAATGACCAAATGTGTAATTATACCAAAATATTTAACTGTCATGTCACCAAATTTGTTAAATGATAACGGCAAGTAGCTTGATTGAAAATAATTAAATAGTTTAGTAGTCTAATTGAAAAAATTGAAAGATCGATAGTAAAAGGACTAAATAGTTGAGTGGTCAATAGTATAGTTTACCCTAAAATTTATTTATAAAAATGGTACACAAGAGTGTTATATAATCAGTTCGGTTTATATAATCTTCTAAACACTTTGTTTTTATTAAATTCGTTTCAACTTAAGATATTAGCTTAAAATTTTACTTATGTTCTAAAACAATTAGCCTAAGTTTACTTTGGGTAAAATATAAAAATGGTCCTCGATTATAAGATGTTATTTTATTAAATTCATCAATTATTAAAAGTTATAGAAATGGTCCCACTTTATAAGGCGTTGTCTTATTGAGTTTCCGAATATTAAAAGTTACAAACTAGTCACCTAATTACTTATATGTTCCAAACTCATAAATTTTTTATAAAAATTTGATAATAGTCTGAGTCGAACATTAACCTATTGATTTAAGAATCTATGATATGATAAAATATGACCCAAGAATCTCCAACGACTATCATATCTCTATCAGCATTTTAACGTCCAACTTAGATGTCCGTTGACTTTTTAACAGAATGATGATGAATACGAAACATATAAGTAGTTGAGTGATCATTTTGTAACTTTTAATAGTCGAATGACTCAGTAAAATAACGTCCTATAATTATATATTATTTTATACTTTTAATAGTTAGATGACTTAATAAAGTAGTGACATATAATCAGACTTTACTTTTTTTATTTTTAGTATGAAATTTTAATCTATAATTGATATTGATAAAATTATTAAAATGTTTTAATTAATATATACAAACTTTTTAAAATTGATCCCTCAAAATATAATACCGAGTTTCGTTATTGACTGTATGATTAATACTTTTGTAATAAAATATTTAATTTTTTAAAATAATTTATATTTTTAATAAATAAAGTTTTGTCTTATAAAATTAAGTAAAATAATTAAAAATACTTTATATATATTTAGAAAAATAATATTTATGAAAGATAGTTATTTATTAATATAAATTAAATTACTATTATAACCTTTGATTTAAGCGTACTTTTTGAATTGAGACCTGTCAGTCAGTTAGGTGACATCAAACTTAACCATGTATTTTCAAAATATGAAAAAATTGAAGGGAATAAGATGAGTGTTAGAAAAAAAAATCTTAGAGGTTGTTTGTTTATTTTAGAATGATTAAACGTTAAATGATTCAGAGGTTCTATATAAATTAACTCTAAATGTGACATGTTGTTTGATAATGACTCTGAATCATTCAAAATATACTTTGATGTTGAATCATTCAGCACTAAATCATTCATCATCGTTTTATTGAATCAATCAGCACTGAATCATTCAGATGTGAAAAACAAACACGCTGAATGATGAACAGTTCATCATTCAGCGCTCAATGGTTCCATTCAGAGCTAAACAAACAACCCCTTAATTAAGGTCAAATAAACATCGAATAGAAAAGATATTTGGATCATCCAATATTCTTAGAAAGATGTCGAGAAGATATTATGTTTTTTTTCATAATGCACGTAATTAGAATAACAATTTTAATAAATAACACGTAAGACGTTGAGTAATTCAAACATCTTTTAAAAATATTTTAACAAAATATTGTATCCTAACAAATAATGTTTTAACCCTCTAAATAAACTACTTTTTTAACACCATATCTGAATGATATTACCTTCGAAATATATTTTATGTACACAGTATCATTTGTAAAAGCTAATTTATCAAATAATTATAGCAAAAGTAATAAAAGACATGTGCTTAAACTTTGTTGATAATGTGTTTTGAATCTAAGTATTGATTTCTAATAATCTTATTAAAAGTTCTAATAATCCTATTTAATGTGTTTAAAAAGCATTCGATTAATAAGAAATCAGTTTAGTTATTTTGATTTGACAATAAAATTAATTTTATATCACTGTTTAATTAAAATTATTTTATTATTAAAATCTAAAAAGGTATCGACTGAGACTTTTGGCGTTTGGAATAGTGACAGCTCGGTCTGACATAGTTTTGAGTACCATTCATCCCCTCAATTCTGTTGCTACACTTTATCGTTTTGTGCGTCAGCTGAACCTCCCCACGAGTGCCCTTCCTTCACCTTTTCCTAAAGGCTTAGTCTTAGCATTTTACAAGATAAATTAATAAAAATACAAATAAGTTCGTATTTCGTTTATTCTCCATTTTCAATATGGCTTACGTAAAGTAATTATTTCTATCGACCATATTTCACCATTGGTTTATATAATTTATATATATGGTTACGATACATTTATATCGGGTGAATTCACGAGATAATATTCTCGAATTTTTTTATTCACGAGATAATGCACATCCCAGATTAATTGCTGAAATGGGGTGAATTTTACAGTGAGCTTGGAGGTCGCCATGGCATCCGAGCGACCTTGGAGGTTGTCATGGCATCCGGGCGACCTTGGAGGTCGCCATGCGAGCGACCTGTGGGCTGTTTTGCAAAGGACCAGGTGTAGGTCGCCATGCAATCAAATAGTGTGGTGTTTTCAGATTCAATTTTTAAAGCATTTTTAGTCTATTATTGTATTTTATTTACATTTATTTATAAATATACCTTTAGCTATCTTTGTTTCTCTGTTTAATTTTTAAGATTAACAGAGTTGTGTGTATATATAGAAATTTATTATTGAATTTAGAGAAAAAAGATTAATTATGAAGTCTAGCATTTGTATTGGAATGTCCAGCGTGAAACGTTGTTGTAGGTCGCCATGCACGTCCCAACACGCTGGGCATCCGAGACCATCCGACCGAGGCCATCCGAAAGCATCCGATGCCATCCGAGAGAATCCGAGGCCATCCGAACGAGCTATGTGAGAGCATCCGAACGAGCTATGCGATTGCATCCGAGGGCAACCGAGCGAGCTATGCGAGGGAATCCGAGGGCAACCGAGCGAGGGTAGGTCGCCCGGAGTACATGGCGACCTGGTAGGTCGCTGGGCGTGCATGGCGACCTACCCCAGGGACTGTAGAGATCACCCTATCTGAGCAATTAATCTGGCGAGGACACTATCTCGTGAAAAAAAAAAATTTCAACGCATTTCTCGTTGATTTTGCCCATTTATATCATATAATTTTTTTTAAATTTTATATATTTTTAGAATTATTAGATTAAAAAAATAAAAAATAAAAAATAAAAAAATAAAAAATAAAAAATAAAAATAAAAAATAAAAATAATTTTTTATTTTTTTCAATAAATATCTTTTTATTTTATATTGTTAATTTTTATTAGCTAAAAGAATTTTTTGAGAATCAAGTAGCAAATGAATTTATAAAGTTTCGGTTAAAAACCCATTCAGTTATTTCATTGATAAAATAATATTTTTTTTAAATATCTTAAATTCGAACGGTTATATTTATTGTTTAGGCATATTGTTAATATAATAAAAGAGTTTAAAATTATATTATAATTACATTAAATTATTAAAAAATTAATGTTATTAATTAAAATTTTAAGATCAAATCCAAAGATACATCTTTAAGGATACATGACATTCAAGATTGATTTTGTTATACATATGAAGGTGATATATATTTAAATATTTTCAACTATTTAAAATCGATTAAATATGATATATTAACATAATTCTAATAAATTTAAATTAATATATATATATATATATATATATGATTATTTGAGATTTCTGTATCAATTAAAATACCTAAAATCATTTTAAAAAATGAATTGTATCACCATTAAATATATAAACTGCATTCTGTTTCGAGAGATATTTCCAACTTAATAACCATTTAATTTCCCCAGTGGATGGACTATTTACGGGTGCAAGTAAGGCACGTAGTTCATATTTTTGGAAGGGTAAATAAGACAATAATACGTGTAACTTAAAGAAACATGGAAACGGTGCGTGTCATATTGACAGCTGTATACTAATAAGTGCCATGCCTGGAAGAATCCTGTGAGGTAAGTTTTGGAGGAAAAAAATTAAATTTTTTAACACTTTTAAAATGTTAACATTTCATTATTTATAGATTTAAAATACTAATAATTATATTATTTGGAAACATATTTTTAAAAAATATTATTACATTTTGATAAAATAATAATGTTATTATTAAAAATAAAATATACAATAATGTCATTTAATTTGTTAAAGTAAAATAATTTTATATTTTGGATGAGTTTTTCAAACAGAATTGAAAATATTATTCTTCTATTTCCTGTTTTGAAAATATTAGTATTTTATAAAATAAAAATTTAATATCTCTTCACAAATAAAATTTCTTTTTAAAATCGACTGTCCCGGTGAGTGGTCACATCTACCGTTTCAATGAGAGATCCTTATCCCCTACCCCTTTCCATATATACATAATACATCCCCCTCTTTCTCTTCACTGCTCTACTTTCTTTAACCAAAGGTGAGCTCCATCTCCACCATCAGCCCTCTTATCACTTCAAAAACAAGATTGTTATTGTTATATTTTGTATGAGCTTTTGATTTTTTTTTAAAATTCCAATGGCATCTACGAGAAAAGATATTGATCGGATCAAAGGTCCATGGAGTCCAGAAGAAGACGAGGCTTTGCAGCGGCTGGTTCAGACGCACGGCCCCAGGAACTGGTCTTTAATAAGCAAATCAATACCGGGTCGAACTGGGAAGTCCTGCAGGCTCAGGTGGTGCAACCAGCTTTCCCCTGAGGTTGAACACCGACCCTTCACTCCCGAAGAAGATGAAACCATAATCCGAGCTCATTCTCGATTGGGCAGCAAATGGGCCACCATCGCTCGACTCCTCAATGGCCGTACTGATAACGCCATTAAGAATCACTGGAACTCGATGCTCAAGCGAAAATGCTATTACATGACCAGATATTTGCGCAATGATTCGTTGCATCCGCTTAAAAGATCGGCCAGTCTTGGTGCTGGTAATAATATATTGTGTCTTTACTTGAACCGCGATAGTTCTTCAGGATCCGATGTGAGTGACTCAAGTTTACTAGCTGCATCATCGGCTTACACGCCGTTTGCAAGAACTGGTTCTTGGGCCACTTCTAGTCAGCATTTGGAAACGGCATCATCCACAACTAATCCTCCTACTCTACTCACCCTCTCGCTGCCCGGATCCAATCCTTGTGAAATCTCAGATCCCATTCCCAGATCCAACCTTGTTCCTACCCCCACAGAGGCTCCGGTACCAATACCAGATGCCCCAGCCGTTGGTTCGGGTCCAAGTGTTCAGTCAAAGCAAGTAGAGATGCAAAACAGAACGTTTCGGATGGATCAGCAGTACTTTAGCGCTGAGTTTTTGGCAGTTATGCAAGAGATGATAAGAACAGAAGTGAGAAACTGTATGTCTAGGACTGGGATTGAACAAAATGGTATTTTTGTACAAACTGAAGCCATCAGAAATGCTGTTGTCAAGCGTATTGGTATTAACAAGCTCGAGTAGACGACAAGAATCCTCAGAAGAACGAAAATAAAAACGTCTTCTCTTTCCTTCAGTTCTTCTGTTTTAGTCCCTTTCTATGTTGGTTTAGTTGTTTCTGTCGTAGTGTAAAGAGGAGACTATAAGGGGAAAAAACCATAAACAAGGTTGAAATTCGAAAAAAAAAGAAAATACCCTCTAAATTTCAAAATCAACTGCTTTTGCTGATATTCGATTCCCAGTTCTTGAATCTAAGTTATTAAAGTTTTTAAAGAAGTATGCAAAAGTTAATAATCGGCGGACAGTTAGGACACATCACAAACCTTTTTTATATGATGTCTGGTGTTTTGTCATAAAGTGAAACTGAAAATGAGTTTTAGTGGTGTGTTTTTGTTTGGTAGTTAACCTAAGCGTGCTTTTAAGATTTTAGGCATGTGACAAATTCATATTGCAGCATAAAATTATTAAAAAAAAAAAAACAGAGGCATCTCTACTAGATTTCTCCACTTTATTTGTGTCGTAATCGTAGCCCATGGCAGGGAAACCTATGGTTGGGCTCTTCAGGCTGTTACCATTTCCAAGATAATACTCTTTTCTTCACTTCACTTGGCCTTTTAGGTCTAACTGCTGCTATTTCGATTCCGAGTTTCTCTTTGCATCTCAATGTTACTAAAATGAAGACGTACTTGATTGACCATACATGGAATCTACTGCTTCATAAGTCTCCAAGCAAATAGCACTTCTCTTGCGCTTGCATGCTCAGATTAGTAACAAATGAATTACAATTAGCGGTTGCGACAGTCATTGTTTGTGGTTTCGATTCTTTCTGCTCAATAACAGCTGATTGAGACAACATTTGTTAAATGTGATTCAATAAAATATATATCTGCAACTACAATTTATGTACTAAATTATAATTAATCGTGTACAACTTTGACCATTGAAGAATGGTCAATAATTCTCAAGTTATAACAAATCATTACGGCTATTGTAGAATGATCAAGCTGCTACATATAAGTTTTTTGCCAACAGTAAGCAGTTGATCATTTAAGACTTCGACCATTGAAGAACATAACTCAAATGCTTCCTTGCTCATTGTATTTCCACAAGGTGAAGCAGCATCTGAACTACTTCACCCATGGTTGGTCTTGCATCTCTGTCTTCCTGCACACATTGGAGTGCCACTTTAACCAAAACTGACATTTCAGCCTCGTCGTATTTCCCCTCCAATGTTGGGTCTACTATCATTCCCATCCGTGTTTCTGTTATATCAGTTTCTGTCTGGTCTTTCCCCCATTTACTTAACGTTCTTTGCATTACCTTTTTACCATCAATTCCATGGACTCCCATCGAAGGGCTTCTCCCGGTTATCAACTCAAGTAAAACGATTCCATAGCTATAAACATCCACCTTGGAGGTGATGGGCATGTTCAACACCCACTCAGGCGCCATGTAACCTCTAGTTCCTCGCAATCTTGAGATTTTTGAATACTTGACATCACCTCTGTTTAGCAACCAAGCCAGGCCAAAGTCTGACACTTTAGGCTGATAATTAGAGTCTATGAGAATGTTTTGAGGCTTTATATCACAGTGGAGAATCCACTCTAAACATTCTTCATGGATATAAGCTAAGCCTCTCGCTGTTCCCACTGCGATTTGAAACCTTTTCTTCCAATCTAGTGTTTTACAAGAGAGGTTTTCCGCCAAGGATCCGTGTTCCATGTACTCGTAGACCAAAAGCCTGTGCTTTCCTTCCACACAGTAACCCCATAAATCTATCAAATTCATGTGGTTAAGCCTCCCAATGGTGTTCACTTCTGCTAGGAATTCAGCTTCCCCATGGTTAGCATCAATGAGTCGTTTGATAGCAGCAATCCGATCATCTGCGAGTTTGGCTTTGTACACAATTCCCCCGGCACCTCTTCCAATTTCTTTCTTGAAACAATTTGTTGCCTTATCAAGCTCAGCATAGGTGAATTTTCTGAAGTTTGTTACAGCGAGATGGTAGCCTCCTATCGGGCGTGAATCTTGACGAGTTCTAATCAAGAAATACCAGACTCCGAAGATAATGAAAATCTCGATTCCTCCAATGACACTAGCACACCAAAGGACAATTTTCAATGATGAATTTTCAAGTCTTTTTGGATACTCTCGGTTTAGTTGCTCAACTCGAGCAGAGCATTCAAGCTTGTAATCTTTACGGGGGTTGTTGTAGGAGGACATAGGTGCCTTGGGGAATTTCAAATAGAACTCTCCACCATAACTTGGCTCGCGGTGCCCATTCCATAACTGTGTCTTGGGATAACAATATGTGGTATATGGCTGGTCAGTTCCAATTGCAATAAATTGGAAGCCTTTGCAATCGCATACCTCAAGGCATAAGTTCTTGCACCGGTCTAAGGTGTAATTTGGAAACAAACCGTAATTGTAGCTGTAAAATTCCGAATGACCGAGTTTCAGAAAACCAACATCGGATCCATTACAAGAAAGATCAAACTCGGGCTCACAACCAAGGGACCAATCTGTGTGATCCTTCATCTTGTGTCCTGGAATGCAAGAACATTTCCTACCATAACTAGGAATGAAGCTGCAGATACTGTTTGGTCCGCAACTTCCATGAACAAGGCATGGTTGAGGGAAGGATTGCCATGAAACAACCCATGACTCCCCCCCTTCACTTAGACTGTATAGTCGAATACTGCCATCGTAATCAAGCTTCAATCTTCGTTGAATCAATGAGCCATAATCAGCTGACATGAAAGTAAAATCATCGGACGAGCTAAAATTCCCCAAGCTATCTAGTACAGCGATTCTGCTATCGTTGTAATTGGATCTTCCAGCTTCCATTCTCAAAAGCGAAGGATTTGGCCAATAGACACTTGAAACCTCGGGGCCGTCGTATAAAAGACACAGTACATTATCAGTGTCGAAATAAAAACTGAAAAAACCTGAAGAATAGTTATTTTGGCTTCTTGATGAGACAAGCTTTGAATCCTTACTGAAATGTTGAAGAGGAAGCAAGGTATCGGTTGGGGAGTCAAAGCTTTGCCAAAGTTTGGCACCCTCCAAATCGTGCAGGACCAGATTGCCAGTACCATAGAGTTTTAGATGCGTTGGAGAAAGGGAAGCAGTGTTGGTCTCCCAAGCAATGATACGCGTAGCATCAGTCAAGATAAGTTTACCCGTTTTGGTAAGGGAGAGCTTTGATTGTCTGCCATTGATGGGGTGGTCGCGGTTTGCCATCCACACCAGGGTGCAGTTATCACGGCAGGGTGGCTTATTGAACCATATGGCAAAGCAATAGGCGTTTTGGCCAACGGGGTGGAATCCGGCACCGAAAGTGCCATCTAGTGATGTCAGAAAGTCGCTTACTTTTTCCACTGAAAGAGATGAGCCCTCGCTTAGAACATCAGCAGAAGAAGATGAAAGAGGGAAACAAAGAACCAAAGCGACAAAGAGCAATGGTCCTGCCATGAATCTCGTGCGAGATTCAAGATTGGATTTAGCAGTCCTTGGCAACCGAGAGCTGTTTGCGAAGTCGTGAGATTTGCAGTATCCTAATAATTTGAGCATTTAATTGGGAGACAAGAACATCAGGGTGCATTTACTCATAGGCGGCTTAGGAAATGTATTCAAGCTGTCCAGTTTCTGGGTTTATATCAAATCAAATTAATATAATAAATTGAACATTTTTTTTGAATAAGTAAAAATTTTATTATTTAAACAGTAAAGTTTTGTTTAAAAATTGAATAATTTCTTTTTGAGCCGTATGTGCTCGTCGATCTAAATTCTATGATTCTCTTGACATCTCACTTGCAGTGTTCACATCACGATCCCAATTCAGAGGGGATTACCCGTTGAATTTAAATATATCACTAGGCGAAGAAAAAGAAAATTGAACACTTTTACTCTCTTGGTAATATTTGAATAAATAAACAGAGTTGAATTTAATATAGTTTTTGTTTGTAATTTGAAAAAAATATAATTCATTGCAAACCTAAACTATTGTGGTCATATCTTCAACGCATGAAAGTCTAATTCGAGGAAAGCTTCTTCATTCTCCAACAAATTGTATTGATTTCACGAAGTTCAAAAGTTTATGATCAAATTGCACGAATCAAGTAATTTAAGAGATCAGAGAATCGTTCAAGGTCTCGAGTTCGAACATAATATATGTTAAGAAAATGAGTATTTATTGTCAAATAATTGAAAATCTTTAAATATATTATCTTGTATTTACTTTAAATTTATAAAAAATATAATTAATTATATAAATTTGTGTTATAAGCATTAAAAATAATATTCCAACCATATTTCTACCAATTGGTAATGTTATTCCAATGTATACATCATTGCTGAAAACGATGGAGCAGATGGATCTATATTAGCATTGATTGAATACAAAAATTGAAAGCTTGCCTTCTCTGGCGATGAATGAAGAATTATCATTGGATGAGTTGACTTTCAAAGTTTCTATAATTTAATTTTTAATATCATTTTAATATATTTTATATAACATGGAAAACGCCTCGGCCAATATAGGTATAGTCAATTCTATTATCGAAAGTTAGATTAGAGATCAAATTTGTATCTATTTTGTTAATAATTATTTTTTTGATATTATTAATTTGGTTCTGTTTTACTTATTTTTGTGTATAAACTTAATTTTCAGAACCAGACGAATTTTATATTTTTTTAATTTATGGAATCGTGGCTAGAGGTATGGGCATGACCTAGGACATGACGCAATCTGATGTGACAGAACAATCAAGTTAGCAACAACAACAGTGTCTAGAAGGGTCAGTTAACATTTTCTAGAAGGAGGACAAATGAAATTATTTTAGGATTTTAAGTTTGAATTTTTAAAATAAATACTTTGGATAAATCTTTTGAATTATTATTTAAATATTCAATTTTATTTTGAATATTTTTTAAGAAGTTAAATCTCTTGTAATTCTTTAGGTTATAAATGCCCCTTACGATGAAACTTGAAAGATGTATTGAATTTGATATTGTTCATTGGGGTTATTTTTATAAAAAAATTTCTTTCAATTTTCTTTTTACTTTAGTTTTTACTTTGTTTTTAAAAAAGTGCTAAATATGATTTCAATCATGCTTAGTTAAACTTTTAATTAACTAAAAGCTTAGCGATGACTCAATTTCAATTGTGAGAATTGAAAAACACTTAATATATTCCATATAACATTCTTGATTTTCTGAAATCTTGATTTGACAATCAACATTTTCTTTAAAATCTTTATAATTTCATTTCAAAAAGTCGACGTTAGTTTGAATGTTGTTTTGATTTACTGTTGGGAGGAAGAATCGATTGGTCGTAATTTGACTTTCTATGAACAAACTTAGCTGCGGTCTGTTAAGATGAATTACGATCGAGTTTGATTTTCATTGAGATATCATAACTCGAGCTGAACTTTTTCGACACTTAAAGTTGTATTGATGCTAACGACAATAATTATAATTAGTCCAACAAAGACTGAATTTCGGAGATAGAGAATACTAGTTTACTAAGAAAGAAAAGTAAGTTACAAAGTTATATAACTGACATGTTTCTTGAAATAAAGTCTCTTTCGACGGTCAATTGGAATTGACACAATTGATTTCGGTCCTCATTGGTACAATGGGAAAGAGATTGGAATCTTTATCCCTAAAATAGACGTCATCCAATAGAAGACCCATTTTATGTTCATTGCATCCAGCCCAAATTCACCGAGTCTTGTATATTTCCCCTTTTATAAAATTGAATCTGACTTTTCGAAACCTAATTTCAAATCGAATCTTTCAATTAATTTATTTCATTCATTAACCCTACTTGATTATTGCTGGAGATTTGAAAAAAGGTTTGCATTGGCTTCAAGTTCATAGCATTATGCTGTGGAATTCATCAAATTAATTAATTTAACAGAACCCTCAAATTAGGTTAAATCCACACACATTGTTTTGTGTTAAATATTTTTCCCGTGTAGTCTCCATCCTTGTTTCCTTGACTATTCCATGGACTACCTTCCATGATTTGTTCCGGTCACCAATTGCAGTAAAAGGGTCCCATAGCGGAAGTGATGGGCATGTTGAGTACCCACTCCAGTGGTTCCTCTTAACCTTGAGATTTTCGAATTGTTGACATCACCTCGGTTTACAACCAAGACACGCCAAATTCACCTCTTAAACAGTATGTACTATACGGTTGGTGGGATTAATGAAACCAAAATTGAAAACCTTTGCAATTGGATTGTTCCAAGCATAACTTCTTACACATCTCCAAGGTGTGATTTGTATAAATACCATATTGGTAGCCGTGGAATTCAGCATGTCTTAAGACTTGTAAAACCAGCCTGGGATGCATTACAAGAAAGATCCAATTCAGTTTCACAACCCAAGGACCAATCCGTGTGATTCTTCCTCCTATATACAGCAATGCAAGACCATTTCCTGCCACTGGAACTGCATAATCTGCTGGGACCGCTAAGCCTGCCCTGAAACAACCCATTTTTCTTCCCTTTCATTTAGGCTGTACAATCCAAGATATCCATCAAAATCAATTCTCAATCTTCTATGAATCCTCGTACCATAATCAGAAGACTTGATGGTGTATTTATCAGTTGAACTAAATTTGCCCAACAGAGACAGTACTGCAATTCTGCTATTGTTGGTGGTGGATCTTCCAACTTCCCATCTCAAGTGCCAGGGGCTTGGTCAATACATACTGGAAACATCAGGACCTTTGTATAATAGACAAGAACGTTATCATAATCGAAGTAGAGACTTAAAAAAACCCAAAGAGTAATTGTTTCATCTTCTTGATGAGACAAGCTTGGCGTGCTTTTTGAGTTGTTGGAACCAGGGGCTTGGCCAATAGATACTTTGCAAGTATCTGTGGGTGAATCAAAGCTTTGCCAAAGTGTTGTGCCCTTCGAATCATGCAGGACCAGATTGTCGGTGTCATAGAGTTTTAAATGTGCAGGTGACATATCAGACACCGTGTCGGTGGTCCAAACATTGGTACGTCCAGCATCGGGCAAAATAAGATTACTGTGTTTAGTTAACGAAAGCTTCAAGTGTCTACTGTTGACAGGGTAGTCACGGTTTGCCATCCAGACCACGGTGCAATTGTCTCTGCAACATGGTTTGTTCAGCCAAGCGTTGTGGCCAACGGGGTGAAACCCGTCGCTGAAAGTTCCATCTGGTGACTTTAAAAATCTCCTTCGGTATCCACTGTCAATGATGACCCTTCGAGTAGATGACCATTGGAGGAACAAGAAAATGAGCAGAGTCGAATCAATGATACTACGAATTGGCCTGCCCATGAGTTATGTGAGGAAAAAACCAAGACAACGAATGGGAAGGTCCGATGAAAACTTAATCTAAGTAACTCAGAATAGATAAGATGTGAATGAATAAACAACTTTTCACTGGATGGAGACACAAGACGAAGAAGAAGAAGAAGAAGAAGAAGAATTGTAATTAGATAAATCCAGCGGCATTTTGGTTATAAAACACAGGCAATGTAAACCCATGGAGAGAATAAGGATTGGTTAACAGTCACGGAAATCCGAGATAAAGATTTGGAGTAATTGACATCTCCTTGGTGGCTTGGTCCTTCATGAAAATCCCAAAATGATCGACTAATTGAGCATAGCAACATATATATTTTTATTTATTCAAATATTTTTCATTTTTGGTAATTACAAAAATCATTACTCAATTTTCTTTTTACTTTTATTTTATTCATTGTATTTTAAAAATTTATAATATTATTACTCAACCTTCAAATTATTCTCGTTTCAGTCACCTTATCGTTAATTACTTAACGACATTATGACATAAAAGACAACACCAAAATATCATTTAAAAAAAATTAAATTTACACCAAAACAAACTCTATAGATTTTTTTCATTATTTTCTTCATCACTAATGGTGATCGATGAGTCTAAATTTTTTCATCAAACTTATTTGTCCCTCTTAAATATGAATCCATTGCCTGTTTAATAAGAAAGTACTCCAAACTCCACGAATATAACGTTAAACGCTTTAATTTTTATTTTTTATAGTTCGTCTTTGAATGGAGTTCAAACACAAATATGTTTTTCCCTTCTCAAAAGACATCTCTCTACTGTTGGAATTATTAAAAGGAGGTTTCATTAGAGATCCACCAAAACTTAAGATGAACTTTTTTTTCTCATGAAATTTATGTGTAACTACAAACGTTTTGTTTTAAGGTAAAAAGTATATTTCTACTCCATGACCACTAAAAAGAGGAGGAACACTCGGCCTTGGTGGCAACTAAAACAAAATCCAAAATGCCTAAGGATTCACGCACTTGCGAGGCTAATCGGGTCCTCTTGTAAAATGTAATGTAACCAATTCGGCCAAAGCAACAATAATTATTCATAGGGGAGATCGATGAAGCAGAAAACCCTTGAGCTACTCGAACTAAGGGCATAAGGCCATAAGTAACTGCCTAAGTGGGTATAATTCTTCAAACTCTGGCTTCCGAGCCTACATCCTCTATTCCCATTCGCTTTTGGAATTCGA